GACATCTGCTACTTCATGCAAGAGGTGAACTAACTTACTCCAGCACAATTGGCAAGAGAAAACCGGAAGTAAGTTCTCCACTGACCATTTTGAGACTGCTTAATCCAGGAAGTGATTTTGAGTCATAGTTCACCCCCTACCTTTAACTGCAAGACAGTATATTCATTGACTCCAACTGTTCGGCAGGTGGCAGCGTTTCCCTTTCTTCCTTTTCAAAAGATCATTGTCTGGATCCTCACCTTTTCCTCCCTTTTCCACTCCGCAGATGGTGGCTCTAGCCATTACATGTTTGGAAAGCACTTTGCCAATAATCTTATAAACTGAAGAGGAGAAACAAATTTACAACTTTTTTTTTAAGGTTTTGGTGGTTTGTGAGATTTGAACTCATGGCCTCATACTTGCTAGGGAAGCACTCTATCACTTGAGCCATGTATAATTCTGAAGGTTACTAATCTTTATGGGCTAATTTCAGGAAAGAGACTGAGCATCAATAATCATATTGATCACTTATTTCTCTATTCCAAACCCTGTTTATCATTTCTACTCAAGCAGTCTCCTTGCTCTCTATGTTTACTCCTGTGCAAGTTTTGCAATGAAAAGCCATCTCTAATAAAATTTCTAATTAACTTGTTTCTGGAAAAGCCAGGTTTTCTTCCCATGTGTATTTACTGATGGAGTTACCAGTTTCCCAGACTCCAGGCCAGTTTGTCATTGAGATTTATGTATTCAGGACATGTAAAACTTGGGACTCAGTTGTTTCTTTTCTTCCTCCTTAATGGTGTTTGAACTCAAGGCCTTGCACTTGCTCAGCTGGTGATCTACCAGCACTTGAGCCATTAGTTTCATTCGTAAAATGGAACTGGTGAATTAGGGAGTCTTGAAGTTTTTTTTTTTTTTTTCCTAGCTTTTATGCGCTTAGGTCAGAAAACAATTGCCTTTGATGGAAGAAGGTGCTGTTGTAGAAATACAATTATTTCTGGAGGAAACTGTTTCTTGAGCAGGACGAATTATTACGTAGAACAAAGAGTGAAAGAAAACTATAGATGAAACAGTTGATATAGCGAAGACACTATTGACTGAGAATAAGAATATAACATATTACTGCACTGTGCCTCAGCTAGATAACATTCAAAATTGGCATTCCCATGTAGTTCTGTGGTGCAACAAACACCTACCAGAGCACCAAGCTTAAGTGCTAGAAATTTCTTAATGTCTTCATTTAGTTAAAAATGAAGTTAGGCTGGGTGCTGGTGGCTCATACTTGTAATCTTAGCTACTGAGGAGGCTGAGATCTGAGGATCCCAGTTCAAAGGCAGCTTGGGCAGGAAAGTCCATGAGACTCTTATCTCCAATTAACTACCTGAAAACTGGAAGTGGGGCTGTGGCTCAAGTGGTAGGGTGCTTGCCTTGAGTAGAAGAGGTCGGGGACAGTACCCAGGTCCAGAGTTCCAACCACAACAACAGAAAAAAAAAAAAGAAAAAGAAAAAAAATGAAAGAAAGAAATTAGAAGAGCCAGGTGCCAGTGGCTCATGTCTATAATATTAGCTACTCAGCTATAATATATAATATTAGTTACTCCCCTCTACCACCACCACATAGCCATGCTGGCCTAGAACTCATGATCTTTAAGCTCCAGCCTCTAATGTAATAGTGTAACAAGTGTGCGCTATGACCTTTGGCTCTGGTCCCCAATCTAAGGCAGGAATCAGGCTGAGAAAAGTGTTGTCAGGGCTAGTCATTTTCTTATAAAAGGGAAGACTGACTCAGAGGTTAAGTTAGGCAGGGGGCCCCAGGGAGTGGAGGAAAGGGCTGAGCAACCACATGAAGAGAAGAAGGCCCCAGTCATTTCACCTACTGCAGCTAAAGTGCCAGACATGTGGGTGAAGCTCTATCTTGGACATTCCAGACCCAACCAAACTCACAGCTAAAGGGACCCCATGTCTATAGCTGATAACGAGAGGGAACAGAACTGCTCTAGTTAAGCCTTTCACAAATTGCAAAATTGTGGAAAATTTGTGGTAGTGATTATATTAAGTCACCAAGTTTTTTGTTTTGCTGGTCCTAGGGCTTGAACTCTGGGCCTAGGCACTATCCCTAAGTCCCTTTGCTCAAGGCTAGTGCTCTACTACTTGGAGCCACAGCACCACTTCTGACCTTTTCTGTGATTAATTGGACATAAGTCTCATGGACTTTCCTGCCCTGGCTGGCTTCGAGCTGTGATCCTCAAATCTCAGCCTCCTGAGTAGGATTACAGGTATGGGCCTCCAGCACCCAGCAATGTTTTTTCTTCATGTCACTACTTTATGTAGACAAATATGGGCTGCACTGTGAAGCACCTGGTAGATGCCCCAATACCTACTGGTATTGACGTTGTCTTTTTCTGTCATTGGAAACATGATAGAAAAACTCATTTTGCTAAAAATGCTAGAGTTAGCATTAGTTTTAAGGCTAACAGAGAATACCAGTTGTGATAGCCTGGAGGTGAAAACAGTCACAAGCATTTCCTATTACTTCCTCCCTGTGGACAAGGAAGCACCATTTCTGAATGCCACTTGGACACAGTGAGTAGGTGTGTCCTGCTATGTGGTTTCTCTGAAAGTACCTAGTGCCACTCCCCCGTCTCTGTGTGATAATCTCACACAGCACATGGCTCTACTGAGATGTGAAAGGCAACAGAGTGTCATGTGAAATAACCTCAGCAGAATCTTAGGACATGGAGAACATATAGAACACAATGAGAATATAATTGTATGTCCAGTAGCAGTGCTTTCTGGTGATTGTCTTGGGAACATGAGAAAACTTGATACTAGAATAAATGAAATAAGAGAAGTCTTTAGTATTGGAAGAATCGAGTAGTTTGAATTCAAAACCAGTAATTAGTGTATTTGTATTTTAATTAAGGTGATGTACAGAGGGGTTGCAGTTATAAGCCAGGTAATGAGAACATTTCTTTTTGAACAGTGTCACCTCTTCCCTTTTTTTTTTTTTGGTTTTGGGGCCTGAACTCTGGGCCTAGGCTCTTCAGCTCAAGGTGAGTACTCTACCACTTGAGCCACAGTGCTACTTCCGGCTTTTTCTGCTTATGTGGTGCTGAGGAATCAATCCCAGGGCCTCAGGCATACAGGGCAAGTGCTCTACCACTGAGCCACCTTCCCAGCCCCACCTCTTCCCTCATTTTGTCCCATTTTTCCCCCTCTCCGTGCCCTCCTTCACAAATTGTACAGTATACATATTTTACATTCTATTATTTAGAAAACAGTGGCTAAGCAGATAAAAATAGAGAGGATTGCTTAAAAATTAAAGCCATTGATTTAGGTCTCTTTATGAAAGGTCAGTGTGTGGGAGATGAGAAAGGAACTGTAGTGACTGAGTGTTCACACAAAGGCATTTCAGCAGCAGAACCTACAAAGAGCACATCAACTATTTATATCACCCATGTCAAGTCGCTGGTTGTTTCACTTAACCAAAGAAACTAAGGAAAGCATTTCCTTTGGAGCTTATTTGAGTAGAGTTTTGAAATCAGTTGTTAGAAACTATAATTAAAGTTGGTTTATCACACTCACTAATTATTCTATATCGTGAGTGTCCCTGATGCTTTATGTACTTCTCCCTTTGTTACAGGCTTCTTTTTCTCCCCAGGGTATTTGAATCCAGACAGGTAAGGGAATAATGTGCGTGGAAACCAATGCATCATAATATATTCACAGCCAAGCACATAGTTTCATTTGAGCTTAATACATATTATTATTTTTTCCCGTGGATTAGATGGGACCAGCTGGTTAGAGACTTCAGTGCTACTACATGAGCAAAGATGTCCCTAGAGCAAAAGAAAAGAAATTGAAGACAAAAATTTAAAAGGCTACATTAGGTTGGGTGCTGCTGTCTCATGCCTGTAATTTTACTTAGAAGGCTGAGATCTGAGAATTGTGGTTCGGCGCCAGCAAGGGGCACAAAAGTCCTTGAGACTCTTATTTCCAATAAACTATCAAAACAGCTAGAAGTGGAGCTGTGGCTCAAGTGGTAGAGCATTAGCCTTGTGCAATAAAGCACAGACAGTACCCAGGCCCTGAGTTCAAGCCCCAGGGCTGGCACACACACATACAAAAGGGCTATATCCGAATTTCTTTCAGAAACACATTTACCAATGGGAGGATTTATTCAGCAAACCTCCACAACCAGCTAATGTTGCTGTCAGGCTGGCCAAGTTGTTTGCTATCACTTGTGATCCTTTCATTCACCACTAGAGAGAAGTAGAGAGATGTTCAGGAAAGCAGCAAAACCCATTTCCCATTCCCTTCTGATGGAGATGGTTCCCTGGTCTCATATTCCAACACTTCGGCAACACAGACGTGCATCCTATCTGTTCCATAGTCACACCGTGCCATGGGAACAGCAGAGTATCCTCCCTGTAGAAGACCAACACTAACAAGGTTTAATGTACTTCCAAGGGAGATTTCAGAGCTTCTCAGATGCTGTAAGATTAAGCATCACCAAATGTAGCTTCAGTGGACAGGTGGTGTAGGGTAAAGCAAGTAACAAGCTGCGGGGAGTGGGGGCGCAGATCAGCAACCTGAGAAACAAATGTGGGACATTTTACCATGGTCAACTACCACCCTTCATCGAATTTCATCTTCATTTCTGTTTTCCCACCAAGCAGGAGCTGACATTCAATGGAATATGTTTTGTTTTGTTTTTCCATGCAAGCTGGTAAAACACCTAAATACCAGGAACTCTATCTTTAGTTATTTGTAAAAGAAATCTCTACCTTACCACATGGCCACATGGGCTAGAGTTGCATCGCTGGACACCAAATGGAAGCCCTTTTCCTACAGTTTCTTAGTTGTTCTCCACTTCTTTTTCCATGTGTGGGTTGTCCCAACTCCCAACTCCAGTGGAATACAACTAAGGGCATAAATATCAACCTTACCTTCTTCAGGTTGCTAACTCCTGTAGAGATATTTAAAAAAATGTGGCACATTAAATGCCAAGGTTTGAGCAGACTCGAAGATCTCTAATAATACTGTAAATATCCTTGGTTTAATTAGCAGTCTTGAAGTTAGGTAATGGCCTGTGGCTCTCTGAGCTAGGCCTCTGGAGATTTCTAGTCTTCAGGGGCTGCCTGCAAAGATGATGTACACACATACAATCCTCTTTCTCATACACTTCACAAATGCCCTGTAGACCTTCCTGGGCACCTAGATACTCTCATGGCAACACCCATGCTAATTGATTCCTATTTTCTCAGGTTTCTAAAATGACCCACTTGTTTTCAGCCTGGGTCTCAGATCAGATGCTTCTGGACTCCAACTGTTGCCTTGAGAACCACATCCTTAGGGTAAGAATAAACAAGGAGAAATTCCTAGATTGGGGATTGATGGATGCCTCTTCTCTTCACTTGCTTGGTAGTTGGCTGGATAGTGAAGTGGACTTGACAGGTTTGTTCTGGGCTGAGGGCCACGGACCACTTTCTCCAATCAGATCCGTCGGTGGGGGCGCGCTCACCAGCTCAGGGGTGGCGATAGGAAGTTGGCCGCAACCTCGGCAAACCCAACCTGGAGACCCTGTCACCCGAGCGGGACAGAGGCGGGAGGGCGCACCGCCGTCCGCGAGGGTGGCGCCGGCAGACTCCCAGGATCCCCGCCCTGTCTCCCACTCTCGGCAACGCGCAGGGGTGGCGGAGCCAGGGCGGGGAGCCCCAGGCCGGGGCCTGGTGGGCAGGGAGGGCTGGCGGACTCTCCCCCCAGGGTGGCGGCCACCGGAGCCGGGAGCGGGGGGCACGTGCTTGGACGTGGGTGCTTGTGTAACCAGCTCCCGGGCGCTCAGCCCGCGACCAGGCTCCTCACGCACTAAGGCTTCTCGTCGGTGCCCTGCTTTTTCCTCCCAGTCGGCGATCCGCGAAGATCGGGGGTAGGGGGGGGGGGGGGTCCCGTCTCCCACCGAGGGCGGGGACACCCGGGGTCGGGAGGCCGGAGCGGCGGCCGCTAGCTCTGACCCGGGGGGAATGGGAATTTGGAAAGTTCCCCAACTAGGAGCACACGTGACCTCCTCCCGAAAGTAGTTCCGACCGGGGCTCACGTATCCTTCCACTTCCTCTAGAGCCCTCCTCGGCCTCCTCGCCCCGCCCACCCTCCGAGTTGCAGCTTCCTACCGTTCCGTCCTCGGCCACTCGGGCCCCGTCACCCTGGCCTAGAGCGTGCGGGGCCCGGCGGGGAGGCGGAGGGAGCGCGCGCGGGGGCCAGGCCCCGCGCGATCCGTCCAGCCGGGTTTTCGCCGTGGCCACAGAGGGGCGGGGCGGAGTGGCCTCCGAGGCTGGAGCGGGAGTTGGGCTTGAGATGGCCCGGAGCCGGCTTAGCCCGCGATCAGATCGGGGCCGGGGGTGGGGGGGGGCGCAGAGGGGTCCGCTTTCCGTCCACCTCGACAGCTGTCCCTGGACCCTTGGAAATCTGGGGGGAGGCAGGGCGATGTCCAGGCTCCACGCGCACGGTCGAGCGCGCTGGGCTGGGAGCTTTGTTTTGGGGCAAATGAACCGAGCTGCCCGGGGAGGAGCAAGGTGGGGCAGTGCAGGAGAGCCGGAGGAGGTGAGACTCGCCGGTGACACAATAGGGGGCTGTTCTTTGTGCAAAGACTGACACCTGGAGGACACGGTGGGGGGTGGGGTCCTCCAGGCCAAGGCTGCCACCTGGAAACAGTGCCCAAGGACGGGAGGAGAGCGCCGGGGAGCCGCGTCGGGGCGCCCGGGGCGGGCTCGGGCCGGAGGGCGAGGGGAGGTGCTCGCCGCGGGAACATCGCCAGCGCCTCCCCTTCGCAGGGCTCCCGGCGGGGTGCACCCCGGGTCCCTCGTACACCTGTGTGCACAGGTCCCCTCCAGCGGAGCACCCAGCTCCGTGTCCATCGCCAGTCCTCCGTCGTCACCCGCGCCCCGCCATCCCCGCGCTGAGGTTCTTCGGGGCCGGGGCCGAGGCTTATCTGGCTCCTGAGGCTCCCCCCCCCCCCCCGTAGTCATCTCGGGAGCCGCCGCGGCAAGTGCAGCTCCAGGCGGGCGCCGCCGAGCAAGCCCGAGCGAGCCCCACGGCGGGCAGGTCGAGCATGCTCAGTAGCGCCGGCAGGTGTGGGGGCTCGGCGCGGGGAGCGGAGCCGCCCCCTCCCCCGCTCCCCCCCCTCCCCGCCTCCCGATCGGTACCTCCCCTCCCTCGGCGCGGCACGTCCGCCTCTCGCCCTCCCGCTCGGACTCCCGAGGTGCCCGGCTCCCGGCGCGGCGGCGGCGGCGGAGGGGGCGGGCTGATCGGCGGACGGTGATGTGGCGGGACTCTTTGTGCGCTGCGGCAGGATACGCGCTCGGGGGGGCCGGGACGCGGCTGCGCTCAGTTCTCTCCTCTCGGAAGCTGCAGCCATGATGGAAGTTTGAGAGTTCAGCCGCTGTGAGGCTAGGCCCGGCGCAGGCGAGGGAGATGAGAGACGGCGGCGGCCGCGGC